AGCCGAGACACTGGGGACTAGGGGACATTGGGGACATGGGACAGAGGTGACAGTGGGGATGGGGTGATCCCTCTTCACTGTCCCCACTCTCCCCTCTATGTTCCCTCACTGTCCCTGCTGTCCCCAATGTCCCTCACTGTCCCCTCACTGTCCCCTCTGTCCCCAGCTGCCACCTCCGAGGCCGACGTTGTCCTTGGGCCGGTGCTGCTCTCCAGCGAGCAGCGGGGCCAGCGCCCGCAGAGCCACCAGGGTGAGTCCCCACGGGTGACAATCGGGGACAACTGGGGACAATCGGGGACAGGCGGTGATGTGGTGACAATCAGTGGCAATTGGTGACAGTCAGTGACAGTTGGTGACAATTGGTGATAATTGGTGACAATCGATGATAATTGGTGACAATCGGTGACCACAGTGACAATTGGTGACAGTGACAGTGACAATTGATGACCACAGTGTCAATCAATGACAATCGGTGACAATCAATGATAATTGGTCACAGTTGGTGACTGCAGGGACAACCAATCAAAATCGATGACAATCGGTGACAATCAATGACTGCAGTGACAGTTGGTGACAATCAATGACAACTGGTGACAATCAGTGACAGCAGTGACAGCTGGTGGAGGTCCCCAGTGATGTCCCCAATGATGTCCCCGATGATGTCCTCGATGATGTCCCCAGTGATGTCCCCAGTGATGTCCCCAGTGATGTCCCCAATGATGTCCCCAATGATGTCCCCAGTGATATCCCCAGTGATGTCCCCAATGATGTCCCCAATGATGTCCCCAGTGATGTCCCCAGTGATGTTCACAATGATATCCCCAATGATGTCCCCAGTGATGTCCCCAGTGATGTCCCCAATGATGTCCCCAGTGATGTCCCCGATGATGTCCCCGATGATGTCCCCAGTGATGTCCCCGATGATGTCCCCAGTGATGTCCCCAATGATGTCCCCAATGATGTCCCCGATGATGTCCCCAGTGATGTCCCCAGTGATGTCCCTGATGATGTCCCCAGTGATGTCCCCAATGATGTTCCTGATGATGTCCCCAGTGATGTCCCCAATGATGTCCCTGATGATGTCCCTTTGCAGGCACGGTGACCCCGCTGGCCCTGGGGACAGCACTGGCCGCAGCTGTGGCCACAGTGGTGGTGGCTGGAGCCGTGCTGGCCATCGGCCTGAGGCGCCGCAATTCCCAGTAAATCCCAGAATTTCAGGGAAATCCTGGAATTCTGAGCAAATCCCAGAACTCCCAACAAATCCCACAAGGACCAACGAATTCCCAGTAAATCCCAGAATTCCCAATAAATCCCACAGGGACTGACAGAATTCCCAGTAAATCCTGCAAAGACCAAGGCAATTCCCAGTAAATGCCAGAATTCCCAGTAAATCCTGCCAGGACCGATGGAATTCCTAGCAAATCCTGGAATTCCCAAGAAATCCCACAAGGACTGACAGTGTCAGAGGGGTGGCTCTGGGTAGGAATCCCAGGAACGGGGCGGGAAAGGTGACAAATCCTGTCCTCGTGTCCCCATTCCCAGTGTCCCTGATCCCAGTGTCTCATTCCCGATGTCCCCATTCCCAGTGTCCCTGATCCCAGTGTCCCCATTCCATCCCAGTTTCCCATTCCAAATCCCTGTGTCCCCATTCCCAGTGTCCCCAGTGTCCCCAATCCCATCATCCCCATTCCCAGTGTCCCCAATCCCAGTTTCCCATTCCCTGTGTCCCCAATCCCATTCTCAAGGTCACCATTCCCATTCCCAGTGTCCCCAATCCCAACGTCCCCAATCCCAATGTCCCCAATCCCAATGTCCCCAATCCCAGTGTCCCCAATCCCAATGTCTCCATTCCCATTCCCAGTGTCCCCAATACCCCCAATCCCAACATCCCCATTCCCAGTGTCCCCAATCCCATTCCCAATGTCCCCATTCCCATCCCAATGTCCCCGACCGCAATCCCATTCCCAATGTCCCCAATCCATTCCCAATGTCTGCAATCCCAATGTCCCCATTCCCAATGTCCCCAATCCCATTTCCAGTGTCCCCATTCCCATTCCCATTGTCCCATTCCCAATGTCCCCATTCCCAGTATCCCAAATCCAATCCCAATGTCCCCAATCCCAGTTTCCCATTCCCATTCCCAATGTCCCCATTCCCAACGTCCCCAATCCCATCTCCAGTGTCCCCATTCCCATTCCCATTGTCCCATTCCCAACGTCCCCAATCCAATCCCAGTGTCCCCAATCCCAGTTTCCTGCTGCCCCCATTCCCAGTTTCCCATTCCCAATCCCAGTGTCCCATTCCCGGTGTCCCAAATCCCATTCCCAATGTCCCCAATCCCAATCCCACCGTCCCCATTCCCAGTCTCCTCTTTCCATTCCCACCGACCCCATTCCCAGCCCAAAAATTCCCAAAAACTCCCAATGTCCGGTCGCTCTGGGTTTGGAAAAGGCGGGAAAACAGAAGAATTCCCTAAAAAAAAAATGGGATTTCCCTCCCCAAGTTCCTGGAGCTGTTTCTTTTCCCTGCTCGGGGGACATTCCCAAAAATCCCCAAGGATTTTGAGGATCACGAGGATTTTATGGATCCCTGGAGGGAGTGGGGTGTCCCTGCTTTTATTCCAGCCTTGGATTCCCTCGGGAAATGGGGAAAAAAACCCGGGAATAACAGGAAAATTCGGGATTAAAAAAGATTCTGAAAAGTCCTTGTGGCTTCCCCGCTTTTTATTGGGAAAAGGGGGAATTTTGGGAACACGTTGGAGCCACCCCAGGAGCTTCCCGGGAAAGGGGGCGGGCGGCATTCCTGGGATTCGGCGGCCATCAGGACCTGCAGGGAAAAAAAACGGGAAAATCCTGGGGAATTCCGTGGGAAATGAAGGAAAGAACAACCCCAAATGGCCAAATTCCATGGAAAATCCCAAGTTCCACCCCAGATTTCAGAAAACTCCATGGGAAAGGAGCAAAATCCCAACCCCAAATGGACAAATCCCAGAAGATTCCATGGGAAATTTGGAAAACGTCAAATCCCAGGTTTTTTCCTGACCTTCACCACCAAAAATGCACAGGAAAAGCTGGAAAAGTGGGGAAAAAAAGTGGGAAAAACCAGGAAAAAAGTGGGAAAAAGCAGGAAAAAAGTGATAAAAATGGGGAAAAAGCAAAAAAGTGGGAAAAATCGGGGAAAAAAGCAGAAAAAGCTGAAAAAAATGCATGAAAAAGAGAGGGGAAAAAGTGGTGGGAAAAAAGTGTGGAAAAAGTGTGGAAAAAAGCAGAAAAAGGGAAAATACTGGGGGAAAAAAAGTGGGAAAAAAGCAGGGAAAAATGGGGAAAGAAGTGGAAAAAAACTGGGGAAAAAAAAGGGAGAGAAGGGAAAAAAAGGGGAAAAAAGCAGGGAAAAAGCTAAAAAAGTGGGGAAAAAAGGGAAACGGAGGGGAAAAGGTGAAGAAAGTTGGAAAAATCTAAAAAGTGGGGAAAAAAGTGTGAAAGATGCAGGAAAAATGAGGGGAAAGTGGGAAAAAAAAGCCAGGGGAAAAGTAGGGGAAAAAGCCGGGAAGAAATGGGGAAAAAAGTGGGGGGGAAAAGGGGAAAAAAGGGAAAAAAAGTGGGGAAAAAGGAGGGGAAAGTGGGGAAAAAAGGGGGGGGAGAAGGGAAAAATACTGGGAAAAACTTGGGGAAAAAGCAAAAATGTGGTGGGGGGGGAAAGCAGGAGAAAAACAGGGAAAATTGGGGAAAGAAACAGGGAAAAAATGGGGGGAAAAAAGGGAAAAAGCAGGAGAAAAGCAGGAGAAAAACAGGGAAAATTGGGGAAAGAAACAGGGAAAAAATGGGGGGAAAAAAGGGAAAAAGCAGGAGAAAAAATGAAAAAAATGTGGGGAAAAAATCAGAGGGAAAAGTGGGAAAAAAGCCGGAAGAAAGCGGGGAAAAAAGGGGGGAAAAAGGAGGAAAAAAGGGGGGAAAAAAACCCAGAAAAGGGGGAAAAGAAGTCGAAAAAAGGGGGGAAAATTCCAGGGGAAAAAAAAAAAAAAAGCGGGAAAGGAGCTGAAATAATTTGGTTTGGAATTTGTGTTGGGGATTTTTTTTGGGAATGGGAATTCCGTACTGGGAAATGCGGCAGTTGGAGGCGGAGACGAAGCGCCCGGTGTAGTGGATGTGGCAGCGCACGACGTTGTTGGTGAAATCCGACTCCAGCACCAAATATTTGGGATTGACCTGGACCTGGGAATGTGGGAAAAGGTGGGAAAAAAGTGGGAAAAAACCCATGGAAAATTGGGTGGGAATGCGGGTGGGAAAAGGGGGGAAATATCCGGGAAATGTGGGAGGGAAGGAAATCCCAAAAAGGGAAAAAAAAATCCTGGGAGGGAAATAAAAATTCCAAAAAGCAGAAGGGAAAATTAGGGAATGGAAAAATATCCCAAAATAAGGAAAAGGGAAGGGTCCCAAAAATAGGTGGGAATGGGGAAATCTGGGAAAAACTTCCCAAAAATGGGCAGGGAAGCGGGAAGGGGGGAAAAAAAATCCCAAAAAATGGTCAGGGAAAGGGGAAAAATCACAAAAAATAAAGAGGGAAAGGGAAAATCGAGGGGGAAATCCACAGAATTAATGGAAAAAGGGAAAATTGTAGGAAAAGAATCCAAAAAAATCAACAGGGAATTGGGAAAATGGGGGAAAGCAGGAAAAAAAAATCCCAAAAATGGACAGGGGAAAGGGAAAATCAGGGAAAAATCTCCAGAAATGAAGAGGGAAATGGGAAAAACGGGGAAAAAATCCCAAAAAGTAAACGGGGAAAGGGGAAATCAGGGGGAAAAATATTCCTAAAAATATCAGGGAAAAGGGAAAATGGGGGAAAGCTGGAAAAAAAAAATCCTAAAAATCAACAGGGAAATGGGAAAATCAGGGGAAGATCCCAAAAAGTGAATGGGGAAAGGGGAAATCAGGGGGAAAAAAATCCTAAAAATATCAGGGAAAAGGGAAAATGGTGGGGGAAAAAAAATCACAAAAATCAACTGGGAATTGGGAAAAGGCGGAAAAGCAGGGAAAAAAATCCCCAAAATAAAGAGGGAAATGGGAAAATAAGGGGAAAATCCCCAAAATAAAGAAGGAAACAGGAAAATTGGTGGAAAATCCCCAAAATAAAGAAGGAAACGGGAAAATCAGGGGAAAATCCCAAAATAAAGAAGGAAGAGGGAAAATTGGGGAAAAATCCCAAAAATAAAGAGGGAAATGGGAAAATCAGGGGGAAAATCCCAAAAATAAAGAGGGAAATGGGAAAATCAGGGGGAAAATCCCAAAAATAAAGAAAGAAATGGGAAAATCGTGGAGAGGGGAGAAAACCCCAAAACAGGGAAAAGAAAAGGGAAAAAAATACCCCAAATCCAAAGGGAAATGGGGAAAAAAAATCCCAAAAAACGCCAGGAAAGGGGGAAAAAGCAGGAACTCATCCTGGAAAAGCTCCCAGGGGTGGGAAAATCCTGATCCGAGGTGAAATTGGGGTTTTCCAGCCCCAAAGCACCTTGAGGATGTAATTCCCGGGCGGAACGTCGGTGATGTCGATCCACTGGCAGTCGATGTCAGCATTGTAGGTGTCGTAACAGCCCGGGCTGAGACCCTGCGGAAAACGGGGGGAAAAGTTGGGAAAATGGGGAAAACCGGGAAAAATGGGGAAAAAACGGGAAAAAATGGGGAAAAAATGGGGAGAAAATGGGGAAAAATGGGAGAAAATGGGGAGAAAATGGGGAAAAAACCGGGAAAAAACGAGGAGAAAATGGGGCAAAAACGGGAAAAAGAGAGGGAGAAAATAGGGACAAAATGGGGAAAATGGGGAGAAAATGGGGCAAAATGGAAAAAAACGGGGAGAAAACGGGGAGAAAATGGGGAGAAAATGGGGAGAATGGGGAAAATGGGGAGAAAACTGGAAAAAATGGGGAGAAAATGGGGATAAAATGGGAAAAAATGGGAAAAAGAGAAAATGTAGAAAAAATCAGGAAAAAATGGGGGAAAATGGGGAAATGTAGAAAAAATAGGGAAAAAATGGGAAAAATGGGGAAAAATGGGAAAAAGTGGGAAAAAACAGGGAGAAAATGGGAAGAAGTGGGGAAAAACAGGAAAAATGGGTAAAAATAGGGGAAAAAAGGGAAAATATGGGGAAAAAATGGGACAAAATGGGACAAAAAAAGGTCAAAAAGGGATCAAAAAGGAGCTGTTGGTGTCATAACTTCCTGGTTGGATACCCTGTGAAAAACAGGGGAAAAATTGGAAAAATGGGGAAAAAA